GCGTCGTCGACGCCGGCGTCGGTATCAATGATGACCTTGGTGGCGCCCATCTGTCGAATTCGCAACTGACTACGTCGTTCAACAAGACGACAACTTCCCGCGCCTGCAACCACCAACGGTTTCCCGCGCAAAATCGATCGGTAGTGCCACCGAGGTCTCGTGCGCGTCGTGTCCGCGTAGATACCTCGTGCACCGTCCCAGTGCTACTATCGCGCACCCGTGACACATCACAAGGACGCGACCATTTGAAGGGCTCTTCTCTGCTCCATGAGGGAATAAGAAGAGAATCGTACAAGACAAGCAAGCTGCCCAAACCAATTTATCACAAAATCGATTACAGCGTCTATATTTCGAGTTTGTGCCTGGCTACTTACAACGTTTGCTCTTCCCGTGCGAGCTGGAGAAAGAGCGACTTGAAGCGATCCGTGTCAAAGGCGTGGACGAGCTTGGTGCCGCTCGTGTCGGCCGTCGGCGACCAATGGCAAGCGCCGCGCGTCTCGCCCGGCGTGAGCTCGACGCGCCCATTGGCGAACGAGACGTTCGTCGTGTAGTCGCCAAAGAGGAGTGCCAGCGCGTACGCGTCACAAACCACAAAGTGCTGCTCACCGCCTTCTTCGTAGAGGACACCGACGTCGCGCTGCGGCCGGAACTTCTCAAAGGACGCGCAAATGGCCTTGATAAAGGCCGCCGTCGGCGTCTGGACGGCGATGAGCTCGTCGAAGAAAGCCCAGGGCAGGTACGCGTCGCAGACGGTCTCCCAGCTCACGATCGTGAGCTTCGATGCAAACTGCGTCAAGAGAATGTGGGCCGCCTCCGGGTCGCACGCCACGTTGAACTCGGCGTGCGGTGTCGTGTTGCCGCGCCCGAGCGTCGTGCAGCCCATGTAGATGACCTATGGTACACATGAGGCATGGCACCTTCTCAATGTGGAGCAATACCTCCTTGAGGTTGTCGACGAACGTCGGATCCAGCGCCGCTGCCAGCGCGAGGTTGGTCGCGGGTCCAATGGCGACGATTGTGAGCTCCTTGGGATGCTCCTTGGCGAGGCGAAGCAGCGCAGACACGGCGTCGTTTTCGCCCGGCGGCGTGTATGGGGCAAGGCCAATCGCACCGCCAAGACCGTCGACGCCGTGGCCATCCCAGCGCTCGCCAACGCTCGAGATCATTGGCTTGTGCGCGCCCGAGAAGACTGGGATGTTGGGCTGCTTGGAGCGGGCGAGGATGCTAATACGCGCTTCAGAAGACAAAGAAAGATCCGTCGCTACGTACTGCTTCAAGTTGTGGTTGACCTGATGCAGATCCATGTTGCCAAAGACGGACGTGATCGCAAGCACGCTACCCTCGGGCAGCATGTTGGTGGCCATGAGGATCGAGATCGCATCGTCCAAGCCGGCGTCCGTGTCGATGACAACCTTCATCTTCGCCAATGGTCGTCGGTGCCCCAAGGATGATAATTCCCAGCCGGCTGGCATGTGTCGCAAAACAATACTTCAACACCGTGTAGCGTATCTTATAACAGAATTCGATCTCCAGGCCGTTCTAGCGTGTTTATTACCGACAGCTGAGGTGTCGCTTATATAAGCCATTCCTGATGAATAACACTATTTCAAACTTATTGGCATGATGATATAGTGTTAACCGCACTGTTGAGAGCTGTTAATTGTGATAGAGCAAGCGGCACCACTTTGATCCCATCGTTGCCGCTCCCTTTCCTCCTCGTTCCTTCAACAAGCCAAATAACCACAGCTTTTGTACCGTCGGCTACTGCTACTTAGCGAGTGCGAATCCTTGGCGATCTTGAAACGTTACGACCGCGACAGCAGAGATTTCCCCAGTATCCTTGGCGCCAACGCGTCGCTCGACCCATATTTTGGTGCACGGCCGCCAGCGCAAGAGAGCTGCATCCATGATTTAAAGAGCAAGCCCACGTGCA